ACGAGGCCTGAGCCCGACGGACGTAGGACACCGACCGAGGCGGGTGGGAGGCGATGGGGGTGACCACCTCCTCGGAGGCCACCAGTAGCAGACGAGTCGGGGACGCAGGTGCCGGAGGCATCAGACGGGCACTAGACTCTGCCTGGGGAGAGGGCGGGTTCGGGGCCGGCGGATCCGGAGCCGATGCATCGTCAACCGGGGCAGGGAAGGGAGGCGGGAGGCGACGACGCGTCCACCCCAGGGGGTTCCATCGGGGGGGGACCTAAGGGGGGAGGCGCCGACGTCGGCGAGGCCGGAGGCAGCAGAGACGCCGAGGCCGGGGACGAGGGGGCCGTGGCCACCACGAGAAGGACGCACGGCGAGCGCGGCGAAGATGCCAGGAGGACGAGGAGGCTGACACTGGAGATGTCGCTGAGCTCGGCCGAAGAGGAGGGAGAGGAGACCGGTGGCACGGCGGGGGCGGCCTCGGAGGAGGGGCCAACCCACACGACCGGCCCGCACCCGCACCCCCATGCATCGGAGGTGGAGAGGGGTCTCGTGAGGGGGAGCGGTTGCGGCCAGAGCGCTCGTCGTCGTCCTCTAGATCCTTGTGGCGGAGGGGGGGGGCGCGGACGGCGGTAGTGGGAGTCGTCGCGGGGGTCCGCGCCGCCCCCACCAAAGTGGCCATCAGCAAGGTGTCGACGGCGTCTGATGTGGTTGGGAGGCTCGGGGTAGATCTTGAGGTCGAATCCCTGGTCGTTGAAGAACACTCTGACGGTGGCACGGAGGATGGAGGAGTCCAGGCACTTGACCTTGACACAGACCTCCTCCTCCTTGTGAAGGGAGAGCTCGTTCATCACCACCACCTTGCCCAGGAGTTTGGACATGCTACGGATCACCTTCTCAGAGCGGGCAATGTTGGGGAGGCCCGCTATGAGGATCCAAGCAGTGTCCAGCACGGTAACCGCCTTAGGGTCCAACAGGGGCTCAGAGATGTTGACGACGAGCTTGTTGAGGGCGAGGGTGATGTCGTCACTACGGGTGCAGTGGCCCGGGATGAGAGCGTCGGGGAAGACCACGGTGAAGGAGCTATCCGAGGTCGGAGTCACCTGCCAATCCCAGATGCGACGGCAGAGGTGGTTAAGCTCCGCCTCGATCATCTCTGGCGAAGCGACCCCGGCCCCCACGATGGTCACGATCGCAAGGCGCGACGGAGACGGTGGGGGAACGTCCTCCGCCTCGATGTGGAAGAATCCAAGGCCCTCGATGCCGTGGCCATACATCATCAGCTCCTCTGAGACCGGGCGGTCGGGACAGAGAGCCGCGGGGTGGTCCGGATCTAAGCACATGAAGCAGCACTGTGGAATCGTGCAGGCCATCTGGGAGTGTCCCGGAAGGACGCAATTGAAGCACTTGACGAGGTTGGCGGCGGGGTCATCTGGGCAGAGGGCAGCGGGACGCGAGACGGAGCCGGGACCGCTGCCTGGCCATTGCCACGGCCGAGCCCCCACTTCTTCCGATTCGGACCGGCCTTGCCAGGCCGGCCCCGGCGGCGCCCGGGGGAAGCTAGGGGCGGAGCGGGGAGGTTGGTACCGGCGGGCCTCGGAGGAGGCGGCAGGGGGACGGTTGAGGATCGGTGAGCGGGAGCGGCCACCGTCCCGACGCCGGGGAGGCGGCGGGGAGCGGCGGCGCTGAGACCTCCACTCTGGCACGGGCGAGGGCGAGCGGGACCGAGAGCGGTCCCGGCGATCAGCCCTGGCCGGCGAACGGCACGGTGGGGAGCGGTGGTCGGTGCGCGG